TTAACGTATAATAACAGATTAGTTACTGGGTGTCAAAATCAATAGTCGTATTTGTGTGACAAACGTTGTGGCAGGCTGAAATCGATTACAAAATATTGCAAAATGGGAGACAGTGGTGGTGATTAGTCATAATAGATTTGTAGAGTGTGGGGTAGGAAAATTGACAAGTCGGTTCAAGGTTATAAAAGGTGTCAGGTGAGTGGCTAGTACAAAGTGGCATGTATTAAACAGGAGATAGCAAAACTTCAATGAGAGGTTCATAATGAAATAACGAATATGTGTAATGAAACAGGTGGAGGCATATATTGAGAAAAGAGATTATATCACTAATAATTAGTCCGGATAGTATAAACGAAAAAATTCGATAGTATTGAGAGAATGTTTGCATGAAGGTTATAAATTATGACGAATAATAATAATTGCAATAATAAGCAGACAAAAACAAACTAAGAGGGTTAAGGAGAAAAGGCACTCTTGGTGAGAAGAACCATTGATCCAAGTTTGGCCACAGTAGGAACAGCATCTAGACATTTTCTCTTTGGATACAAAGCTCCGGTCTAGCCGATCTTATTGCAACAGCTTCAGCTATGTGTAGGAGACTTTGGCAGACTGTACGTGATAACGACTTCAGAATTCGATATATAACCCTGAAAGCTGTGTTGACATTGATGCGATGTCCAGTATCCACCTTTTAACCCTGAACCGACTACTCGACATTCTATGAATCTATTATGACTGATCACCACCACTGTCGCCTATTTCACAATAATTTGCAATCGATTTCAGCCTATCACGTTTGTCACCCAAATACGACTATTTATTTTGACACCCCATAACTGCTAATCTGTTATTCTACGTAAAAAATGTATCTGCCGCATAACTAACTGACTATTATTATTGTAACGACAACAAATATTATATGTTATAATTGTAAGAAGCTGCAGAGAACTTCTTGAAAAGAATTTTCTATGTTAAGCCTGACTTTTAGTTCATGATATGGGAATATTTCACACTATTAAATCTTCATATGGCGTGTAAATAGTAGCATAAACAATAACACTCTTACGAGTTGATCACGGATTGATATCGTTTGCAGCACTATTGAGAACCACCCAGGGAGTACTGGATAGCTGTTTCTTCCAGCTAGTTTGGGAATCATCCAAAGTACGCTCCCACTACCAGGGATCGAACCCAGGACCTTCCAGTTACGAGGCAAGCTGACTCGTATACCATTCAGCCACTGGGACCCCATTCAATGGCCACCAGCTCATGAATTCTAACTTCTAGCAATTCATGGGCCACCTGAGCTACAAATCGTCTCTGTTACATTGGTTATGTTTTATTTTACAAGGTAAAAGAATTATATAGCTTACAATCGTGTAATTTAGAGTAACTAATGCAACTTATTCTCGGGTAGGGCATAGTTTTTTTGTAGATTCCATCATAATGATACGACAAGTGTATCTTCCTTGGCAAGAGATGAGTTCTTGCCAGTTTTTTTCCCTTGGCTTGGTTAGTTTTCAGTAAAAAAGAGAAATGAAATCGTTGAGGTGTACATTCTTTAAAAGAAGTTTCCTTCATATAAACTTTTAATATATAAAATTCTAATTATTCTTATCACTTTTAATAATCAGGAAATGAACTCATGAAAAATATATAGGTTAATCCTTCTAGGTCAGTAAATCTACTGATCTCACTAGTTTAACTATATGTATATTAAACTAATAGTTAACTAACTGAAATGTAAAAAAAAATTGAGGGAAATTATTAGAATTCAAATTATGCAGACTTAGTTTCGGTTGCATAAGTTTATAATCACTTCACCAGTCTCGAGTCGTCCATCTACATCTAAGTGGTTTATGAAAACAAACATCTTACACATATTTAAAAAGTTCATGATTTAGCAGTTGAACCGCGACTTACGTGGGCCAGGGTTCGATTCCTAAGCCACTGACTTACTCCTTAACCTTGCTGCTTAGCTAGTAGCAAGCCCGGTTAAGAAAGAATTTTTAGGTGATGTGAGGCAAGCGAAAGAAGCATAGAGAAACAGTACTACCGCTGATGTCTCAAAGCTCAAGCCTGAAGCCTGTGAAAAGTGGTATGATTCCGTTTTGCCTGTAGGTTATTCCATAAATTATTACTCAACATGGTTAAGTAAAGGGACAGAAAAGTCAATCAACAGTTACAGATTGGCACATCTCATGGATACGCCGGATCATAACAGTGATAATATTTCGTCCTTTATTACTTTAAACAAGGTGACAACACATCAGTTCCCTACGTTTGTAGGCCTTCGATTGTTAAGCATAGCTGAGGCAGTCGGCATAGATATTTTTTCAGTCCAATCTCTTTGTTCAGAAAAACATTGTCCAATCCCTCTGATATTTACCGGACAACTATATCAACATACAGTAGAATCGAAAACGCATTAGGGGACACTTTCGTCGTGAAACCTCTTCTACATATTCTCATTTCCTTCCATATTAATTTTTTTATTAGATATATCACACAGTAAAACAGTAATATTTACTACATGACAAGGTTTCGAACACAATTTGTTATTGTTCATAATCATATCAATTATAACCACACAACTCCGAAACTTTCGTTTTATACTTTTCCTAATTCTTCCCTATTCTTCGTCGTAGGGGTAGTAAAATTTTCCAGATGTCCTGGTTGACAAGCGTCGATTCATTTTTACACCACGTAGTTTCAGTTGATTCGATAATTAAAGCTTCCGTTATCAGTCTCTCTTTCTCCACCCTGTTGTATGAAATTTTAAGACTGTCGTCTTATCCCATCCTATGGTATGGTTGTGTGCAATTGCATTTAGTGCTATAGCTGAACTATTCTCAAGATTTTTTATCTTATTCGGGTCAACTTATCTAGATTTTGCTGGGTTTTGTGCTCCTCTAGTCTGACTGGCCCTGTTCTACTACTTTGACCTGAAAATCATTGCAGCAGGCTATTAGATAAATTAAATTGTTTTGTTTAATTGGCTCCACAGGATCCTTCAACCAACACAGCTTGTTCTAATTGAGTTTGTGGGTTTGAATGACAGCCACTTTTATTCCTGAATTGTTAAGAACTCTCTATACGGTTTCGGAGGTTCCTTCTTTGCATGGAAGTACTACTGATGATGATTTGAATTCCTTCTTGTTGGTGTTGTCATCATTGACACCATCATATCGTCTGATAAACAAATCAATATAGAATTAAATGCTGACACAGTGCCCAAGTTTTACACATATATCAATTCTTACATTCTGTATATAAATAGAGATCGCAATTCCTTTTCTCATCTGTGCGTCGATGACACAGAGGTAAGAACGCTCAGTGACCAAGCACATGGTCCGGGGTTCGATTCCCAGCCGATGCACACCCGATATCGATGGTGGGCCTGTTAAATTTGGGCTACCGGTATCACATGCTGAAAATCCCATAGTTCTACCAAAATACAGTGTTGAATCAAGCTACTATAAAGAAATTAAAAATTAAATTAAATAGCTATCACTACTACAGAAATTTGATGATATCACCATTAGACCTCATTTATTAATACACATATCCATCGCTAACCGTTGCACAAAAAGAGAACGAGTCAAACTTCTTCAAAGTGCAGAAGCAATGGCGATTCACATGTTGAATTCTGAAATCTGCATACAAAAGAAGTTTGTTCAGTCATTAAATTTACAATGGGGCTGATGTGTTTTAACATCAAATACGTAGTTTCTGCGTTTTTCTTCCTTATTTGTATCATTTTCTTCCCCCACCCCCCTGTTAAAACTCTACTCGTTATTACCACTGTTGTTAAGCCACCAGTTACATTACGTCACTGAACTCACATACTGAATTTTATTCTAATTTCTACCCGATTAACGCTTTCTACATTATGTAATTTGGTACCTAAAGTTTACAATTCTAATGACGCATCTTTGTGAATATTCCTTGTTTTTACGAGTTTGACCACGGATTGATATCAGTTAGAGAACTATTATAAACTAGAGCTGCAGTACTGAACAGCTGTTTCATCCATCTAGTTTGGGAATCACAGGCAGTACGCACCCACTCCGCCACAGTTCGAATCCAGGACCTTCCGGTTACAAGGCGAGCTGGGTCGTATTACATTCAGCCACTGGGCTCCAACCCGATTCAATGGCCAGCCCATGAATTCTAACTTCTATCAATTCGTGATGCATCGATAGGAAATCCATCCACACACTTGACAGGTTGAACCTCACTGGACATGACTTCTCACTAGAACTGTCCAGTAATCTCTGACTGGTTTTCAATGGTTCTCTAACTGATATCAATCCATGGTCAAACTCGTAAAAGCAAATCTAATCCTTACAAACCAACTCTTGAAAATATTCCTTGTGTTGTTAAGAAAACTAACCATATATAATCCACGGTAGAACTTGAGAATGATTTTTCCGAGTTGATCACGGATTGATATCAGTTAGAGAACCATTGAAAGCCGGCACTGGAGTACTGGACAGCTGTTTCATACTAGTTTAGGAATCATCGGCAGTACGCATCCACTGAGGTCGCGCTAAATCACGAATTGGTAGAAGTTAGAATTCATGAGCCATTGAATCGGGTCCCAGTGGCTAAATGGTATACGAGCCAGCCTGCCTTGTAACCGGAAGGTCCTGGGTTCGAATCCCATTGGGTGCGTACTGCCGATGATTCCCAAACTAGGATGAAACAGCAGTTGTCCAGTACTCCCTGGTTTTCAATGGTTCTCTAACTGATATCAATCCGTGATCAACTGGTAAAAACATAACTAACCCTTACAAACCAAACTATAGAAACTGATTTTTCCAAAAAGTCTAAATCTTCGGTGAACACCTTTTCTTTTATGTGACTCAATTCTATTTGTTTATTTTAGCTATAAACCTGTTACTGTAAATATCAATATAGCTGAGGTTGATTTTACCAGATGGTAGACTTTAAAGCCGTGTCCTTTATTATAGATTATTGACAAAACAACTACTCACCAGTCTGTTTGACTATCATCTATCACTAGAAGTATTTTCTGATGTTCTTTAGACGATATCTTCCCAGATATATTTTGAGCAGTTGAAGCAGCTGTATTAATACCACGCATAATTGTATTCGATATCTGCCCGGTTAAACTACCCATTGGACCCATAAGTGAAGCACCAAGTCCAACAGATCGTGCTGGTGAAGTAGGAGCACTTGGATATGCACCACGTCCACGACCCATAGGTCCCTGATAATAATTAGATCCGCCTATTGCTGCTGCTGCTGTTCCTGTACCGCCGTATACCCCAGTCATATGATCAGCCATACCCGCTGTCGGTGGACCTTGTTTCATATCATAGTTTACAGGACGTGCAGAACTAAAATCTTGTTGTTGATTCGAGTATCCTTGTACACCACCCTGTCCCCCAGGTTGAATGTTTGATGAACCAGGCTGTTGGTATTGCTGATATGGCATTTGTCCAGGCTGTGTAGACGATCCAAATCGTAGAAAACTAGGCAGTCCTTCTTGCATACGTTTGTCAGCTAATTCACCCTGTAGATCTCCTGAAGAAAAGCGCCTTTTCAAGTATGTTATCATTCTGTTTTCAGTTAGAATGAATTCAACAATTGATGCATTAATCCAATTTTAGTTTGTTTGTTTTTTTGTTTGAAAGAAACTTTGTTTCACTAACTGTTCTTACAATGTCCACATATAACACGTGAATTTCAGAGGAATTCCAAACAGAGTGACTCAGAAAAGCCTATGATATTATCAGAGCTTAACTTTGGGTAGGTTAAATCAATACATTGCCCATTCATTTATCGATGATTGGTTTAGAAATATGTATATATACATACAACATTACAGTCTGCCAATAGATAACAACTTCCTTTAATTTAATCCTATATAAAGAGTCAGGAAATTAGAATATTTGCCTAAAAAAGAGTCTGCCCTGAGTTTAACAGAATTTGACCTTAATAAAAATGTACATTTTACCAAGAGATGATTGGTTCAGAGGATTAGGCAACAACTTAGCTTTAGTAGAATAGTAATCCTTTGATTGGCAATAAGTGGGGTGAGATGATATCCTGTCTCAAAAAGAATCAATAGTAGAACTCGTTTGTCTATAAATGCATATATGTAGGTAGGGAGCAGTACAACAAACACAAAACCTACTCGAAAGAAGCTGACAACGTTATTTTGTGAGTGTCACTACAAGTAGTCAGTGTATAGCTATTAGGAATACACGTGTTGCCCGTCAAAATAAAATGCGTTTTAGTAGGGACATAGTTAGGAAATTGAATAAAATTGATTTGAGTAAGATAAATAACAGTTTATTGTTTATAAAAATCTGAAATCACAAGTATAGTTGAGTACAACTAACAACTTGACATAAATTTTCACTTGAACTATCACTTTGCGCCAGAAACATACCATTCAGGTATGTACTCAACCTTCCACTTTAAAATCTGAGCTTTGTTCATGATTAAAAAAAAGACATTTACGTTATGTGGATATGAAGTGACTTTTTTCACATCATCTGAATCAGTTGAAATTACTATTATTATTATTGTTTCCTTTAATTCCTAGAGGAACATAGGGCTTCAGCCGTGCGTCTCCATTGCGTTCGGTTCTCTGATAGAGTCTTTACTTGGCTCCAAGTCTGTGCAGACGTTTTCATTTCCTCTTCACATGACCTCCTCAATGTCACTTTTGGACGATCAACTCGCCGCTTCCCTGTAGGGTTCCACTCGAGTGATGGCTTGTCTAGTGATGTCACTTGATGGTTTCCTCAGAGTATGGCCAATCCATCTCCGTTTCTTCCTGACTATTTGTTTCACAATCGGTTCCTGGTTGGTTGGCTCATTGCCAGAGATCTCTGTTGCTGATCTTTTCTGGCCAGCCATCTGATCTTGAGTATTGAGCGAAGACAGCTGTTGATGAAGTCTGTAGTTTTTTTGAGATGCTCTTTATGAAGCACCATGTCTCTAATCCGTATAGTAAGTAGCACTGACTTCACATTGGGGTTGAAAATCCGGATCTTATTTCCATTTTCATGCTGAGTGCTGTTGATCTCCACACAGACTTGAGAGTAGGGAAAGCTTGTCTTGCTTTCCCGATCCTTGCTTTGATATCCTTGTCAGTTCCGCCTGTAGCTGAAACGATGCTTCCCAGGTGGGTATGTGAAGGAGGTTGTTTCTTTCAGGTTCCTCCAATTTATGCTGATTGTTGTCTGTTGTTCTTGTTCTTGTCCAGGAATCTTCATTACCTCTGTTTTCTCTATGTTCACCTGAAGTCCTATCTTTGATGCTTCTTGAAATTGAAATTACTATTACTATTATTTTTTACAGTCTGTGTTGCCGGATATTTTTCTCCGCTTACTGCCTTTTCTATTCATTTGCATTCCAAGTGCAGCATAGGGCTGCGTCAAGCTTGAGCTCTGTAGCTTCAATAGCAGTAGGGTTGTGTTTTATGAGGTGGGGTTGCTAACTTCACAACAGCCAACCATCTCTCTTTACCCAGCTTAGAGAGGTTAAGGAGTGCATCTGTCCGAATAGCTTAGTGGCAACGTCTCGCATTGGGTGACATAGGTTCGAATCTGAGAGGGGACATGAATTCTTCCAAGATTGTAGATATGCCTTGCTGACTGTGCGTCGGTGGTTCAGCGGTATAATGCTCGCCAACTACACCTCACGTGTTCCGGGACTCGATCCCCGGACGACTCACTCCTTTACCTTACTAAGCCAGTCATATAAATGGTACAGAGGGAAGGTTGTGCTTGAGGCTAGCAATCCAACCCCGTAATAATCAAAGCCGCTGCTACTGAAACTCCAAAGCTCTATGTTGAAGCTCTGTGTTCCACTGAGAACGTAAATGATTAAGGTAAACTGTTTGGAAAATCCCTCTTCAACGATTTACTTACGATATTGATGCTTATTTAAGCATTTCAACTACCTGTGTAATTAATTACTACCCTTTTTGTTTTCCTACACTGAATATCATTGTTCTCATGTTGGCATACCATCTGTCACTTTAATCCTGATTATTTTTTGTCTTCCTTCCTGTTTAATCTCTAATTTTAGTGATTCTCTGTGTCGTTGTGTGATGATGAGATTGATAGTGTGTTATCTTACGAATTGTGATTTCGTTTGAGCGAGTCAAAATCATTCTCACCTTGGAGTATCTTTGAGAATTGTTTGGTGTGTGATTCTTGCTGAGAGAGTTGAGAGTTCCCACCTTGTTGAGGATATTCTTCTTGATTCTCTCGTACTTCATACGGTTGATTTAGAATAAATAATTTTTTTGTATGGTACTTAGTCTGTAAATGAGAATGAACTGAATGTGTCTAGCTGCCTAACAGGACTTTTGAGGTAATTTTGACTATTTGATATGTCACCATCGCTGTTAAGTGGGAGCGAAGATTTTATCGTAAATAATCGTCGTTTCGCTATCGTTGAGGTTGTTTCTGTGACTATGAGTGACTTAAAGAAGTTCTGGTCAACTATACAGTAGGTGACAAGGATCAGTTTCCTGCGTTCAGACAACAGCACATGGGTTCTGTATCATATAAATTATATTTGACTTTTCTTGTTGCCTGTGAAATGTCTTAGCTTGCTTAAAACATTATGTGACACATTTAAATATTCATCGGTCATTTAGTGATTTTGGTACTTAAAGTGTACTGTTTGGCATGGTTGACAAATGGTGCTAGCATTCAAAAACTGATCATTCTAGATACTACTTTTCTCAAAGTTCTTTTTCAACTTAACTGCATGCTTCAGTGGTCTCTTCAAATTTGAGATAATTTAAGCAAATGTTTTCCCGTCTTTTTAAATGCCCCATTTTTATGTATCATTTTGTCTCCAATAAAGGAAGGAATAAAAATAATAATAAACAGGAGGTCTTTATAAGTGTTCAAGTGGCTGTATGATCCACGAGTTTGCCTTGTAACCTGAGGGTATTAGGCTCGAAACCCAGTAGGGCCGGTCTGTATACACTTTTAGGAACATAAAATTCATACAAAATGTCTCCTAGTTTGTTTCTTTGTGAGATGTGAACATTCTTTGGAGAAATCACTACTGAGCATTAGTTGGTTCGTTAACAGTCTTGTCATAATAAGTATGCACCAGTCTCTTCTGTGAATTTATTGTTGATGTCAGATGACAATAAAATAGTCATTTTATCCCCAACAATAATAATTATACAGAATGGAATTTTCGGCGTCTGTACATATTGCACTAATATGGTTCCTTTTATAAATATCCAAATACATGAAGTAACAAAGCTGATAAAACCAGAAAAATTGGACGTTAGCGAGATATAATGAATAATAAATAAGTAAGACGGTAAATAATATACGTAATAATAATTTTGGTTTCGCCGTTAATTCACTGTTTATTTATTGATTTATAAAGTCCATAAGCTCTTTTCTGACATTTTTCTCTTCACTCAGAAAGCCCGTGCTAAATATGGTATAGCTGAATTTCTATATTTTGCTGTACAAGCATAAATTCTTATGAAATTACTCCTGGTTTTACACTCCATGAGATATGAGGAGAAAGTCGGGAATTCATAAGATGTTCGGTATCAGACAAGAAAACTCTAGCTAACTGCTCGCAAGAATTAAAATGTCTCATACATTTATTCCCTTTAATGAATTTGAACAAAGCAACAACTACAGTTTTAGCAGAATAAAATGGTACCATCATTGTTTATTTCGTTGCCTTCTCTTCAGCTGCTTACAGGGCAAAGACATTATTAAATGTATCTACAAAAAATAATTTTAACATACTTGCACAGAGTTCATTTTAAACAAAAATCAATCGATCAGTATACGCATGCACTAATAATATATATATGTAATATTGAACACAATTCCGAGCAATAATAATCATACAAAATGAAAACTTTTCAGTATCTCGCATTCGGATGAAAAATATCCAGTTCCCAGGGCAAAGAAAGACCGATAACCACTTCTTTCTGAACGAACAAATCAGGTTTTAGGCGCTTGATGGAAATGGCTTCTGCAAACTTAATGAGAACTGAGCTCTTTTGCTTATTGATAATTTCGAATGATTTTGCTACGTTCACCTCATGACCCGTGTCAAGAAGATGCCTGTCAATGGCACTGTTTAAAGCATTTGTTCCCTTTAGACGTAAGCTTTTTGGTACATGTTCAGAAAATCGTAGATATGCTCTTCTTTCTGTTCTTTCAATGTATTGGAATAGTCTGTTAGATGGTAAGTGCGAAATAATCTATGCTCGTACAATCAAGTACAGGAAATCAACGATACCATATTTGGCCCGTGTTCCAAGTGACAGAGACAATGTTAAGCGCGAAACCTATGACTTGCTTTGTTGTTAATAACATAATTTTGGCTCTTTCATTTCTCTCTTATTTTGTATTCCATTTTTTAATTTTAATTTTATTTTTATTTCAGCTTGATGCCATACTGTATTTTCAGTACAAGTATGGAATTTTCAGCATGGATATCGGTAGCCCAAATTTTACAGGCCGACCATAGATATCGGATGTGCGCCGGCAGGGGATCAAACCTCGGACCATGTGCATGGTCGACGAGAGTCCTAACCACTGTGCTACCAACGCACACCCACGACCCTGAGATTGAGAGTCTCATGAACTCCTTTTTAAACATACTTAGCTACCTGAATTATTAACATTGGCTCACTTTTTTGTACTTTACTCTATTCCTTCTTTTGTGTATCTACTGGTTCCGACTATATTAGCACTATGAGTATTATAAAATTGTCCTATCATTAACCACCATGTAATATACGTTTTGTGTTTGTTTTTTGTTCGGCAATACTAACTGACAATCTTGGTTGTGAACGCCATTGTCACCACCTTAAAAATTTTGTATTATGCAGGATTACTCACACTACCACTACAAACACTGCATTGACCTG